ATCGGAGGTAGGACTTCATCCAAGATGGGTGCTTCGAAAGCGCAGCACTTTGAGGAGTTGTCCATGATTCTGATGCTGAGAGACTCCGAGAACTTCAGATCTTTATTGTTTGGTCTCAGTACTGAATATGCCAATGACTCCCCCAAGACTTGGTCTTAAGGTGTTTGCTCCAGAGGCGTGGCTACGTGTGGGCAAGGGTGGGCAGTGCCCACCCAATTGAAAATCAGTCAAATTAAAGTTTTAGCTTAGATTGGCTTTTACATTTCTTTCTAAATTATTATTGGCTATTTAAGTCTTAAGCGTAGAAGAGGCGTAGTCGGGAACCTCAGGAGTCAACGCCGTTTAACGCTGGCAGACAACCTTTTCTTTCAAACAGTGCAAGTTGTCTGTGTGCTTATTTTAAAATCTTCCAATGTAACTTACACACCTATTTTTGTTGAACCATGATTAGATTTGTTAGTGATTTTTTTTAACTGTTGTTATAATTTACTTTAATTGTGTACTACTAATTGTAGTTTTGGTTTCAGTCATATACTAATGTAGCTGAATTGTGTATTGATGTGTGGCAGGGATGTCATTTACCCATCACTTTTTCTGTCCGTAGTTTCTCTTTATTTTCTTCTGTTGAAAACGGGAAGAAACCTTGCAGCAGGAATATTTAATTAAGCTCTAATTAAGTTTTTTTTATTTTGTCAGATTGTCAGCGCTGGAAGTCATGCTTCATGTTTGCCGAGTTGTCTTCTGTTTTAGATCCTGAGTTGGGTGAGTTACTCAAAAAAAATCAATTACACATTACTAATTACTTAACTAAAATAGTGATTCGATTTATTATTTTACATTACTAGCAACTTTTAAGTAAAACCCCTACTAATACCTTTATACAAAGGGGCAAATAGCTTTACTGTAAAACCAGTGTGTCAGTGATTGTATTATCTTGTCTGTACATGTATGTTCACTTCTGTTTGTGTCAAATTATTAATCTTTCAGAGAAGGGATGCTCTGATTAGGTTTTTTGTAGCAGATAGAAATGACTGATTTCTTGTAGTTTGAATCAGTCAACATGATAAATGCAAGCAGTAGATTTGTTCATCATGCACAGCAGTGTGTGTGAAATTTGAGGTTTGTAACTCAAGCTGACCAACAGCATTAAGCTAAACAATAACATAAATGCAAAAAAACAATCTTCAAAAGCAATGATTTACTATAATTCAAAAAAGAAAACATGATAAATGCAAGCAGTAGATTTGTTCATCATGCACAGCAGTGTGTGTGTGTGTGTGTGTGTGTGTGTGTGAAATTTGAGGTTTGTAACTCAAACTGACCAACAGCATTAAGCTAAACAATAACAGAAATGCAAAAAAACAAAGACAAATGACAAAGACACATCTTCAAAAGCAATCTCATTCATGCCAAAGGTTTAAAACATTACAGAAGTCCATCGAATAAAATAAGCACACAGGAAAACCAAAAGGACTATTGAAGTAATTAAATGCTTTATTGATTTATTTTGCCCATGCAGCAGAATATGTCTTCATTTAGTCATAATCTCAGAGAGATTATTGCAAAAAATGTTTATTTGCTGCACCAAAAAGACAAAATACACAAATACACAAAATACTAATACAAAATTACACAAATACACAAAATAGTAATCGGATTTATGGAGCATTGAATAAGCAGTAGCAATTCACTATTCCAAATAGACAGCAAAAAATATGTTTAAATATAACTCATCAACGGTATCAATAAAGGCACAGAATATCACTAAATGGGAAATGTATACCATTGTTATATATTATATCATTTACATTTAAATGAATAAATATCCTACAAATACACAAAATAGTAATCGGATTTATGGAGCATTGAATAAGCAGTAGCAAATCACTATTCCAAATAGACAGCAAAAAAGATGTTTAAATATAACTCCTCAACGGTATAAATAAAGGCACAGAATATCACTAAATGGGAAATGTATACCATTGTTTGTCAATACAGTATTTGAAGGTTACATGAATATATATTATATCATTTACATTTAAATGAATAAATATCCTACTTTAAATGCACCCTTTAAATGCACTGTTGTGTGTGAGTGTCTGTTAAGTCTGTGATTGTAGAGTATCTAATTCAGTGAGTTCAGGCTTCAGTAATGTGCTCACCAGTGTCTCGTTTGAATACACTTTTGCCAAGCACACTTGATGTTACCAAACTATGAACTCTTTGAGGACCTGCAAGGGCTTAGGACAGCATTTGGGACAGGGCCAGTGTCTACCTGAATGTTGTCACATAATTATAATTATTCCTCAATTTTCTTTCCCAGAAGTCTCATGTAGATTCTCCTGAAGGATCCACTGAAGGCAGGGCTTGAGAAGTAATAGACGATGGGATTGAGCACACTGTTGAAGTAGGTAAAGCAGACACTGGTTTTAAACGCGTCATTTGCCTCACGGAAATAGTGGCACTCGTTATACCAGAGTTTCAGGACGTACATGGCGATACGCGAGATGTTGCTCGGGAAGAAACATATAATGAAAACCGCAGCCACTGCTAAGATGAACTGCACGGCTCTTTTGATTTTGCCCTGTGTGTCCACTGTCTTACTTTTCAACTGCCACGTTATGCAGGTTGTGCAGTAGATGACAATGGCCGTGGGCACAAAGAACTGGAGAACGTAGAATACATTGTGCCAGTTGAACCGTGAATTACTCCCAAAGCAGATGTTGAAGCTCTCGCACTGCGTGTGGTTGTTTAGATAGTAGAAATGTTCATCTGTTAGGAGGTAGACAGTCATGGCTATGATGAGAACCCAAAGGCCAGCAGAGACCCACAGGGCATAACGCAGACCCATTCGGTTGATGCGGTTGAGAGGGTGGACGATCTTCAGGTATCGGTCCACGGCGACAGCGGTGAGGAAGAATATACCGCCGGCTCTGTTGGCGGCCAAAAGAAAGAGCAAAATACGGCAGAAAGCATCTCCGTAGACCCAGTCCTTGCCCCTGAGGTAGTAGTCGGCCCTGAAAGGAAGGCAGAAAAGGACCAATGAGTCCGCTAGAGCTAGATGGGCAAGATAAATAGAATTGGGCTTCCAGGTGTCCCTGTGGAAGAAGAACATTGAAAGGGCAAGAACGTTCCCCATAAGGCCCAATACGAACTCTGTGAACATTACAGGGGGGAGGTATTGGTCCAGCATGGGCGTTTCGTAAGTGCAGCACATTGAGGAGTTGTTCATGATTATGGTGCTGCTGTGAAACTAGACAAAAGTCGGAGAACTTCAGATCTTTTCACTGTTTCGACTCATACGCCAATGATTCCTACGAGACTTGTTCTTAAGATGTTTGCTCACATGCAAACGGTGTAGCTGTAAGCATGCACATGGACAACAATAAACCCAGGTGTGATGGGTAAATGGTCTCGGGAGGCATTTGCGTCTCATGTGAATTTAATAATCATATCGCTCTGTAACTTGGGACTCTCCAAAAGCACCATTAAAATGATTACAGGAAGGATATTTTACACTTGGGCATACAAGCAAACAATGAAAAAGTGAACAATACAATTAACAGAGAACTTTTTGTTTTTGTTGAACATGATTTTGCATGTTTTGTTGGTATAATGTGAATCTCACAAAAGAACTGTTCATGTTATATTTTAATCCAAAATATATTTTGCTTAAAAAGAAAAATACTTTATGATTAATAATATTTTTATTTTTTTGCTCAATTGAAAACATTTTTTTAATTGTATAAAACAAGCTGATATAAAATTAAGAACAATGCTATCATGATTTACGCAATTGTTCTTTACAAACGTACCTTTTTCCCTGCAAAATATTTTGTTCTTTTGATTTGTTCTTTTAATATTTTTATATTCATTTGTTTAAATAATTTTTTTGTTTTATACTAATGAGGACAAAAAATTTTCACATTATAATATGCTACTGAAATTTGTTGGGGCCATCACTGACATTATTGTCATGAAAATGTCAGTGCAAATAAAAATCTTATTTTTATTCCTGCAAAATATACGTTTAGTTCTTTTGATTTATTTATTTTTTTTTGTATTTGTTTTTTTAAATAAGCAAATGCATGTAAAAGCATTCGACAGAATCTTTTTCTATACAACTGGCACCAACTGTTCTCTCATATCGGGTTTGATTGTACTAAATAATTAATTAATTAATTATGATAATGTACATACATAAAACGCTTTTCACAAACCCAAATAAGCTTCACAACATCTAGAACAGAAAGTAAATGACAGAGATATTCGAGATTCAAGAAAAAAAGCAGAAGAAACAAGTACAACAAAATTAGGCAACAATTTTAATCAGAACATTTTAATATCGATGCTTTCTGTTAACTTGTAAAGGTGGGGATGCAGGGGGCGAGTTCCAGCATCTAGGGGCCATTGCTCTGAAGGACTTGCTCCCCACGGAGAACATAGTGAATAAATTGGCACCAGAGGGTCCGTCAGACCGAGCAGGAGTGTAGGGATGAATCAAATCTGCAGGGGTCTTTGAACTGCCGCTGTACACAACCTTCAGCTCACGGCATTGGAGGAGTAGAAGAGCTATATTTGCAGATTTTGTGTGTTAGAACTTTGATTCAGGATGCATTTTTAACTTTTGAATAGATATATTTTTGTAGAATTTTTTTTTTTTTCTGGCATTTTAATGGCAGATGTCAAACATAAAAGATGCATTTCCACCACCTACTGGACTGGAGTAAGGACTGAAGCGCAGGAGAGGGATTTTATTGTGGTACAGTGTAAATATCAGGTTGATTTTCACCAAAACTGACTGGAGCATTTGGAAAATGATCAGCAAGCTGCACGGATAATGAAACTTTAAAGTAAGTCAAAATTGTCAGACAAAAAAAATCACACTGACATTGTATTGAATTTACCCAACTGGATATTCATTAAAAGATTTTTTGTGTTTTCAGAAGAAATAAATATATACGGAACGATATGTGGGTGAGTAAATGACTTTATTTTTTTGTTATTACTCTTTCGAAATGCATTTGTAAATCGTCAAACTAAAGGCCACAGTGTTGCATTGGAGGCTGTGATAAAAGAAACAATACACAATAGAAGTGTGTCGAATGAGACCGAAATTTATTAGTCTACTGTTTGCATGTGAGAAATGCTTTAAGTCACATCATTCCAGACCTTTGGCAACCAAGAGACAAAGCAGCTATCAAGAACTGAAAAACCCCAAGGATGAAGCCAAGTCCACGGAAATTCTATACAGTAAATAAAATAGATATAAAAGGGCTTTATGTCAATGTGTACATTTGGCCAGGTTTGCTGTGTCACGTCGCATCCGTTTCAGTAAAAGTGCATACTGGGCTTCACTTTTTGACCTCTCCGAGATCGTCGATGCTGTCGTCGTCCACCTGTGGGGTTAGAGAACATGTCAAAAACGGCTTCGATAAAGGTTCTTCTGGTCAGATTTTGCAGCTGGATCTGGGATGTTCGCTTACCTCAGGCCACTTTTCCTGGATGACGTCCATGATGTCATCTGTAAAGTCTCCCTGAATGATGATTTCGTCTTCTGCTGTCACTGAGACACCGCAGGAGAATTTCTGAGCAAAGAACCTCTGAGCCTCTTTAAGGTCAATGTCTGATGTGGATCACAAAACAACAACAAAGTTACCACAGGGTGAAAATACAGATGACAAACATTAGGACAATCTTCTAACTACAATCACGGCCTTACCGAAAGTGGCCAGGCCACACACCCTTGTGACGTATTTCTTTTTAGCTCGTGGGATCTTTGCTATTGTGACTTTTTGCGGGACGGTCTTCTTTTTCTGTTTGATTTGACCTCTTCCACCTGCAAAGGGGAAAAACTAAATTAATATTCAATTATAATTTCAGAGCCAGACAAACTCAAATTTTAAACATGTCATTGGTGTTTGTTGGTAGCAACTAAAACATCGTTACAAATCGTTTTCGGTAATTGAAATAAAATATTTTATGAAAACTTTAAACATAAATGAAAACTTCAAAAGTTGCCTTGGCAATTAACTGAAATAAGTTTCATTTGACATACTAAAATTAAAACTAAAAATTAAAAAAACAACCAAAACTAATGAAATGACAGAAGCCCAAACTAAAACTGAAAGTATAACAATAAAGGCTAATAGACAATAGTATAGTATATATTTATTTAATGCCATGTCAGCATCAAAGGCTATTTTCATGGCCTTAAAATACAAGTATAACAAATACCTAATTGAAAATATTAATAAAAACTATATTAATATATAAATAATACTAAAATAACACTGACAGGTTTAAATTGATCTTAACAAAAATTAAAGGAATTAAAGTAGCCTGTTATTGAAGCTCATATTAATAACCAAGGATATAAAGCCAAAATAAACTCTCCTTTAGCTATAATTCAATTTCAAATGTTTTCATTGGACAGATATAGGGGTAATTTACCACTTGCAAGATGGGGTTTTAATAAAAGTTGTCTGTCTATGCAATAAAAAAAAAATCAGTGCTACATGATGATAGAAAAGAGAGAAAAAAGGGCTGTAGTGAAAAAAGGTAGGAAAACTTTAACACCCATAATGCACTGGGCTCAATCAGACTAAACATTAGTGGTGGTTAAAAAAGGTGGAAGTACTATCTGTAGTTTTCACAAAAGCCCTGGCACTGTCAAAAGTTCGCTGTATGTGTTTTATGTCATCTGGCGAACTTTTGCTGATGAATAAACGGATATCTTGGAACATTGTAACAATACAAAGCTGGTTGAAAATCTGTGAACTTACCCTTTAAGACATTCAAAAAAGTGTTGGATGTGGTGTGTAATGTGCGCTATGCACTTCCACTGCTCCACCACTCCAAATCATTTTTGTTTATAGATGTTGAATATAAAAGAAAAATGTTTAACCTCTCTTCTGTTTCTTCTTCTCCTCTTCCTCTCCCACAAGGGGGGCCTCTCCACCGCCACCTCCTCCTCCTCCTCCTCCTCCTGTTGTTTCCTTCTTGGGTGCTGTACTTACACAACAGCAGTGACATCAGTGAGCAAACTACTAACTGATACAGCAGTGCATGTCATAATGGTCCCGACCAAATATTCTTTGTCTCAGTGTCAAATATGAAAAAGACACTCAGAGATCAAACAATCCTGCAAGAGTCAAAACTATGGAGGCATAAATAAAATGGTAAGCAAGCTAAAATGGTAAGAAAAAGCACTTTTTAAGACTTAATATGATTTGGTGACATTTTAAAAGTTGCTGTGAAAGAAAATCTACTCACCAAGAGTCAGTTTAGCAAACACATCAGGAAAGTTCTTCTCAAGCCACTGTTTGCATTTGGCCGGCTCAGGCATGTACTCGCAGTACTAGCAGAGCAAAGCAGAAGCATTTTATTCATTTGCTTTCTACCAACAGAATATGTGATCATTTTTAAAGAAATAGTTCACGCAAAAATGAAAATGTGCTCACCCTCGGGCCATCCAAGATGTTGATGAGTTTGTTTCTTCATCAGAACTGATTTGGAGAAATGTAGCATTACATCACTTGCTCACCAATGGATCCTCTGCAGTGAATGGGTGCCGTCAGAATGACAGTCCAAACAGCTGATAAAAGCATCACAATAATCCACACCACTCCATCCATCCATCAAGATGTTTTCAATTTAAATCATTGCTTCTGGCCAAAATTTTAGTCCATAACGATTCCTCCACTGAAAAAGTGCATTCACTGCACTCACATCAAAATACACTGAGATATACCACGTTTAGAACTGTTTTTGCCTGTAGATGTTGCTTATTTGTGCATATTTCTCTCCTGATTCAGACTGGATGACTTTTCCAATGAAGAAAGCAATTATTAATTACTGACTTGTATTTTAGCCGGAAGCAATGGTTTAAAGTTAAAAATGCCTTTATGGTGGGTCTGTTTATAACAAAGACAGTTTTTCACTTCACAAGACATTAACTGATGGACTGGAGTGGTGTGGATTATTGTGATATTTTTAATCAGCTGTTTGGACTCTCATTCTGACGGCACCCATTCACTGCAGAGCATCCATTGGTGAGCTAGTGATCTAATACTAAATTCCTCCAAATCTGTTCCCATGAACAAACAAACTCATCTACATCTTGGATGGCCTGAGGGAGAGTACATTTTCAGCAAATTTTCATTTTTGGGTGAACCATTCCTTTAACGTGATGTACTCACCTCTACTGGCAGAGAACACACTGTAAGTAAAGGAGGAGAGAAATGTTAGTATTACATGACTGCAAACCAGAATTATTAAGTCAATAAAATTGTAATTACTTTTTTATTTAATTAATATATCACAGACAGTTAGCATTGGCAGTGCATTCTTTTTTTTGTTGCATTTTCTCACCTCCACAATAGAGAACTTTTAGTGGGTATTTTGCATCTGGGTCAGCCCGATCCACTTTATTTTCTGGTAAACCCGACTCTGCATTCTCAGTAGTAGCCATATTACATGAATCTACACAAATCATACAGAAGGCTTATTTTAGACTGACAACGTAACACAACCAGCTGATGCACAGAGACCAACACTTGAATTCTAAGCTATGCTAAAATGTGCATTTGCAAGATATTCACAAAAACCTAGAGTAAAGTGTTTAGTTTGCAAAAACTGCAAAACCAATATGGTGCCTTCATAATGCATACAGAAATGTGGTCTGTCTGAAAATGGTTATACTCAAAATCTATAATAGATATAACTAACCACACATCAGGCATAAATAGTTGGGCTGAAAGTTAAATGTCATAGCCAACGATTTATCCGTCTAATTGCAAAAGGCCCTTCTGACAGGAGAGAGACTTTCCACATGTCACTTCAGCACGATTTATCAACCTTGGGCAAGTTTTAATAATCGTTTTCAATTAATTAAGACTCTCAAAACGTACTATTTTGGTTAATAAAATCACAAAAGATGCTTTTAAGTACATGTAAACATAAATTGTCAAATGCCAGTAACACCCTAGTGGTGCTTTAGAGATACTAACCAACACACTATGATCAAATGCAATGGGTCTGATCAAAGGCTCTTGTTATTACACTAATAAATGCTTTCAAATATAGTTTAAAACTCTTTTAGAGTCACTGACAGTGACTTGAATCTAGAAGCCTCCGCACAAGGATCATCCATCCACTCCATTGAGCACCCATTCATTAGCCAGCACTGCTAATCACAGCTCTCCTACAGCAGCTACGCGCTCAAGCTCATACATACCCCGTCGATATAATATCAATTCAACTTGCTTTTGAGTAACACCTTGATCATTATTAAATTAACTCGTGCGGATATTCCTTAAAGGGTGAAAGAGTTCCACTGTTACTCAGCACACCTTCAACTGTCTGATTTGGCTTTGGGTCCTGACAACGCCTCTCTGAGGCAGAGCAACAACGTAGTTCGCGCCTTTGCCGTATTACGTACGCACTTCGTGATTCAATATTTTCGGGTAAAACTAAATTAATAATTTGAACATGTGTAATACGATTTTTATATAAGACATTTTATGTAATTGAATGAAAAGCATATGTATAAACAGAATTTTGAACGAATATTTTAAACCAGGCATCTCGTTGGACAGCCCCGTTAAGCGCGGATCATAACATGCCGTTTGAGAATTCCGAAAATAATCACCCGCTTCTTGTCACATACATTTCACAGTGATTCTGAATTCAAATTTTTAATTGCACAATTTTTGTTTTAAATTTAACAGTGATTTGGATCAGGAGTTAGGCTGTTTATATTGCATTTATTGTTGTTGTTTTTAATCTCGAGTGTCTTGTTTACACTTAAATAATGCATCTTTAAAAACAATCAAACTCAACTTTGTGTCATAATCAGGCACCGATAACAAGATATTGATATTGTGCATCGCTATGATGTTGACGCTGCTGTTTTGTTAATTTAAAGTGAAGTTAGAAGTAATACTAAGTCTTGTCTGCTAGTTCAGACATTTGTCTGTCAAGATGTGATGGAGGGGTTCAAGGAAAGAAGAAACTCTAAAACTCTTGGAAGTTTTTCGATGTCAAAAGGTGATAAACCTCATGTAAACATGAATGAATATTAGAAACCCCTCAAATCTAAAACATGATGATTATTCTTTGCATTAATTAATTAATTTACAGGTTCTCCAGTGGAGCCCTGGCACAGTACTCCTGTAAAAAAGGTTGGTTTTTTTACATTATTTACATTCGGTCATTAATGGATAGTGAAGGGCCACCTACAAGTGTCTATCATACATAGGGACTCATTCAATACTATTTAAAAGCATCTCAGGATGCAACTCATGAAGTTGGTTGAGAGAGTGTACAGAGCTGGAATAAATTGCATGTTAACTTTGAAGAAGCTAAAAATAATATTATAGTATTTATTTGGTAGACATTTTTAGTCCATTTGTGTTATTTCATACTTACGATGAATTTATGATGGTCCTAAAATGTGGAAATCAGATGTCTAGTGATGAGTAGTGGCAAGAATTCTGACTGATAGCTAATCTTTTTTTTTTAATAATCATTAAAAATAACTAAAAAGTAATGTTTTCTCTCCACTTTTATTATAAATCTTACATTTTGTATTTAAACATATTGAATACTTATTACACTTTGAATGTGTATTGTGTTGAATTTCTGTTTGCATAGTTTATATATGACACATTGTTGATTGTATCTATATTGTGATGTGTTCATGTTCCTTTGTATTTATTGTAACCTTGTTTTTAGGTCGAGCAGTTATATTTCAAATTGAACTTAACACTTATTGGTGAATAAAAGATTTGATTCTGAGTTAATGATACTCAATCCTTCAGAATCTTTTTGCTGCTAATGAGGCGCCAGATGTTTCCTCCACCAAACTCAGAGATGAAAACAGAACAAGGCCTGCAAGACTGAGTCTACACGACCTCTCAAAACCAATGTCCTCTTTCTCATTAACACAGGATTTCCAGGTAACACGTTTGAAGTGGCTTGAACTGATTTCCAAAATCTGTTTTGCTGCTTTTTGCTTTATAATTCCCAGTTTTCCAGAATAAAATTGTATTTTGAAGGAATAGTTCAAAATGAAAATCTGCTGAAAATTTACTCTCAGGCCGTTCAAGATGTAGGTGAGTTTGTTTCTTCATGGTAACAGGTTTGGAGAAATTTAGCATTACCAATGGATGCTATGCAGTGAATGGGTGCCGTCAGAATGAGAGTCAAGTAAACAAGTAACCCACACCACTCCAGTGCATCAATTAACGTCTTGTGAAGCAAAAAACTGCGTGTTTGGAATCCATTTTCAGCTCATTTTGATTTTTGGTTTAGCTATTCCTTTAAAACTGTGAATGCCATGGTAACTCTTGGATGACTTTGTGTTTTTGTTAACTAAGTATTGGCCCGTTTTTGGAATGTTACTAGATCCCAGTTAATGGATTGGAGGTCTCCACTATTCAGAGGCAGCGTCTGGAGCTGCAGCTTCTCATAGCAGAACTGAAGGACCGTGACCAGGAGCTCAACACTATGGCAGCAGCCCATCACAAGCAGCTGCTCTCCTGGGAGCAGGACCGTCAGAGAGTGCTGATCCTGGAACAGAGATGTGCCCGACTGGAGGGTGAGAGTGATTCCAGAGCAGGGTTAATTAAAATCAAACTGACACTATTAAAAGCATTTTTGTTAATTAAAATAAAGCTGACCTTATCAGGAAAAACTAGCTAAAAGAAGTTTAAGCTGAAGCACTACCATTACTAACTGGAATTAAATCTAAAACTGAAATAAAAATAATTTAAATTGTAAATGTCAAAAACATATAACAAAATTACTTAAATTTAAACTTAATATGCTTAACTAAAATGAAAAATTAAAATATAGAAATAAAAGCTAATTCAATAGTATAGTAATAGTATAATATAATAGAATAGTATAATGAAAATACTAATAGCGCTGCTCCAGTTGCACTGCAAGTTCACTAATAATCCTGCACCAAAACACTATAATTTAGTTTAAAACTACCATTTCCACTCTTTTTCTGTCCTGTAGAATTAGGTTGTTTTTGCTACTATACTTTTAAGAATTCTATATTCCCTCTTAAATGTAAGCACTGTTATGTACCGTTGAAGTTTCAAAACATGGCTCTACTTTTGCACCTTTGTTTCAATAAATAAATACGTTTAAAGAAATGAACTGGAACATTTTGAGCCGCGAACTCTTCTGATTCAAAGTTGCTGGAAATTCAGTTTTCCTTGAATCTAAAAGTAATTAGAGCTACAGTCTCTTCTGTTCACCAAGGCCGCATTTATTTGATCAAAAATACAGTACATATTGTAAAATATTATTATAATTTCAAATAACTGTTTTCTATTTGAATTTATCGTAAAATGCAATTTATTCCTGTGATGCAAAGCTGAATTTTCAGCATCATTACTCCAGTCTTCAGTGTCACATGATTCTTCAGAAATCAGTCTAATATGCTGATTTGCTGTCGAAGAAACATTTCTTATTATTATCAATATTGCAAACAGTTGTACAGCTTCATATTTTTGTGAAAGTTTTTAATCTATATTTTCTATTTTACAGTCAATTATGTATACCTGCTGATTAAAAGTATTAATTTCTTTAAAAAAAAATAAGTTTTACTGATCCCAAACCTGAATGGCAATGTATTTGACTGCTCATGTTTTCTTAGATGAGCTGGAGAAGCGTAACGAGGTGATCAGAGCGCTCAGTAAGCGGACGAAGGTGGCAGAAATGAGTGAGAAAGACTTATACAGAGAGCTCAACAGCTCCCAACAGCAGCTACACGAGCTGAGCTGCACACAGATGAACACCACCAGACACGAGCAGGACTTGGAGGTGAAGTCAAAGCTGTTTTTAGATCTGAACTTTTGCCCCAGCATGTTCCATTTCCTGTTCCCATTCCTCCATCTTCCTACATCATTTCTTTCCACCCTCTTTATCTAATGGTAAAACACTCCATAACTTGTTATTAGGGATGTAACGATATCAAAATCTCACGATACGATAATATCGCGGCATGAAGTCCACGATACGATATTTATGGCGATATTTATAAAAAAAATAAAAAAAAGACAAATGAAGAATTGGAAAAAAATTAAAATTCAGTACATTTTAAAGTTAAATGATTCTATCTAATGCACTTTGAGAGTTCAAAATTAAGAGCTGCAACCCATGTTCTTAACTAAGAAATCTTAAGTCAGAAAAAAGTCAGTGAATTGACTTGTACCTTAACTTTAAAGGGGACTCAAACCTCTTTTTATTTATGATATACTGTCTCAGTCTAAATTACATTCACACTGGTGTTTTAGGAAGCCAAACAAATTAGAATAGAATAATAATAATAACAACAATGACAGTAATAGCCATATATTGTAAAACAATTGCACTGTAAAATAAATGAAAATTAATATTTCATAGGTAAGTCAGAAAAAAGTCAGTGAATTGACTTGTACCTTAACTTTAAAGGGGACTCAAACCTCTTTTTATTTATGATATACTGTCTCAGTCTAAATTACATTCACACTGGTGTTTTAGGAAGCCAAACAAATTAGAATAGAATAATAATAATAACAACAATGACAGTAATAGCCATATATTGTAAAACAATTGCACTGTAAAATAAATGAAAATTAATATTTCATAGGTGTGAAATACACCTATGAAATATATTTATTTATTTTTGCTTTAAACTACAGTAGGCAAATTACAATACTTCTTTCATAATTTCTACACTTGAAAGAGATATTTTGAATTTGGACTGCATTTAAACCGCTAGCTGTCAGCGATTCATACTGCACTTTTAAGCTTTTATTTTGACAGAAACGGCAGTAGAGCTTTTATTTTGAAGGAAAACTCCAGCTTCAGTGAAAACAGGCTTACAAAAACTTGTCTCACTACAAATCTAGTGAAATGCTGTAATCATCTGCCACGAAAATAAAGCATAACTAGTGGCCGTTGCGTTCCTAAATGCGTGCTAAACTCACAGCACATGCAATAAACGAGTTCACTGCATTCACTGTGAACGGAGCCGTTCTGAGGCACGGAAAAATCTGGATCATGAGCTGATCACTTTGAAACATGCAGCAAAAACACTTGATGAAGGGATTAAGCCATATTGTGCTTTCGGTTTTAGTTCGTTTGACAGATACAGTACTGTGCCAAAGCATAATGGCCCAAAACACAACAAAGACCTTTTATGTTAGAATAAGAAGTTTAAATATATATTTAAAAACTACACTTTCCCGGATAACTTATCGTTTCATATCGTCATGTGACCACAATAATATCGAGACAGTTTTGCTATCGCAATATTTCGATATTGATAATATCGTTACATCCCTACTTGTTCTTATAGTTTATAATACTTTGTGTATTCATAGGAGCGGAACCAGAGTCTGAACTCCACGGTCATGAGGCTGTCATCACAGGTGGGGCAGCTGCAGGTGCGCGAGGAGGAGCTCAGCTCCATGCTTAAACTGAAGGTCGGAGAGACTCAAACACTCACGCACACATACATTATCTTATATCCTGATAAACAGACACATAATGCAAGCACATGATTTTTTTTCACCAGGATAAAGATATGATTGAGGCCACCAATCACATTTTAGAGCTGTCTGGTCGTCTTTGCGAACTAGAGAAATCGCTCGAAGAGCTGCGGACACGTGAGAGCAAAACGCTGCGAGAAATGGAGGAACACAAACACCGTTTCAGAGAGAGCAGACACAAAAACGCACAACTGAAAGGTAGACGTCACAATCTCTCACTGTGTCCGAAATTTAATACTGTGTAGTAGCTACTTTGAAAATTTCTTCGCAACTGTTAAAAAAGTACATTCTAAATCGTATTCATGTGAATGAATTCATGCTGGATTCATCAGGATGTTGTCAGTACATTTCATTTGTTTGCAGCCGAGCTTCAGGAGAAAACCATCGAGAACAACAGCCAGAGAGAAGAGCTCATCTGCTTAAAGCAGGAAAACCAGCTGTTGAAGAAAGACATCACTTCTGTTGAGCTTCAGATGATGAGTATGCCACTACTGCATGTTTCATAGTATAATATAGGCTCTGTTTCCAACCCTACAAACCTTTCTACCTAGACAGCATCATAGATGTGCTTCAGACACAGAAACATCTATAGAAACATTGCATCATGTAGTCTTCACTAATCAGGCGGTCCCAGAATGCATTGTGATTTGACACGATTAAATATACATATTTTTTGTTCAGCACCCAAAATTATGTAATTAAAGTAATCACACACACATTCACTCAGTATTTGTTTATATGTATTGTATTTATTTTTATTTGACTATTTGGTTGCTAGAAAAATTTTAACATCTCACTATATTGGACTCGCACACTTTGTGTCAACTTTTCAAATCAGTTGACCTAAAATATTTACTTAAGTACTCCATGTTTGTTTTTAAATAATTTAAGAACAAATTCACGTTTACGGTTCTTTGATGTTGTTTAATAGTCACATGACATGCAGGTAAATAAATGCGATATCTGATCTTTTTAAATATATTTTAAACATTTAATATTTTAACTTTTTTTTTATTTCTATGATTTTTATTTTAAAATTATTTAAATTTAAAATTTGTATGATTTAATTAATTATTAGCTTTTCATCAACTCATGAAGTCCACGCCGTATTCTCTAGTTTGGGGAACTGCATGACTGTTAATAAAAAAATAAAAAAATAAATAAAAATCTGAAAATTAGCTAGTGTTGTGGAACAAACAATTGTCTTCTCAAAGTCGTAAAATAAAATTCAAGAAACGGGAGTTCTAGATGCCAAAATAAGACTTTATTGTCACAGCAACAAAGCCGAGATGACGGCGTGTTTTGTGAAAAGCTATACAAATAAATGTGAATTAAATTGAACTGAATTATGTCAATGTAAAGTCTGCATAAAACATGACAATGACATGACCGGACATCAATTATTTATTTATTTTGTAAGATGTAACGTTTTCTGTGGCGAGTGTTGTGGAACAAACAATTGTCTTCTCAAAGTCGTAAAATAAAATTCAAGAAGCAGAGTTCCAGATGCCAAAATAAGACTTTATTGTCACAGCAACAAAGCCGAGATGACGGCCGCCACATCTGATTCTTTGTCTGTCAGCTCATCCGTTTTATACCTTTTTCTCTTACCAAAGTTGGTAGTTCCTATTACTAGGAACTACCAACCTATAGGAATTATTGAGTAAATAGCATAATATATAATAGAATTACACAATACTAGCAGGCTGTTGCTGTAGTGAGACTTTTAAGTGTGTGTCAGTAAAAGTTTTTAAATAAATTTTACAAACACTTTAGATCCTGTTATTAATGCTTATTGCCTAAAAATGAAATTTGTTGCAAGTCTTTTTAAAAATGTAATGGATGAAATCTTTGAAAGCAAGATTTCATGATTTCACCTTCACTGGTTTCAGAACAGAGCTGTTAAAAACTGATTATAGACAGCAGCGATGCCTAAACACTGATTGGTGCAGATGCAGAAACATATTTTACAGTCTTTTCATGATCGCTTATGCTTACTGTTTTAAATTAATGGAGGTTGTTGTGTCTGTTGCCCAGATGAAGATAAAAGCTGGAGGGATGAATTACTTGAACTCTCCCGATCAAAACAAGCTCGAGTGGAATCTGAGCTGCTCTGTCTGCGGCAGGTACTGTCTTTCAAAACTCCCTCCCTTTACATCATCCAATGCCAGCCAGCGTTCATTTTTAGAAATCTCTGACATTTCCATTTGTTCCGGAGTAGTTTTTCCAGTTTTTCAGCATGCTTGTAAGACTTCCTGCATTCCTTTTTCATGACTTACCCCCGGTTTCACAGACAAGGGAAAGATTCTGTGTCAAGATGCACACCTGTAATGTTTTCTTCTAAGGCATTTTTGTAAAAGTTGCTTAAATATCTTAATTTAACTAAGGTCTAGTCCTGGCTTAAGCTAAGCCCTGTTTGTGAAACCGGGCCTTAGTGTTTTAAACATGGTCGTGATCTCTTCTAAAACAGCACCAGTAATCTTAAAAGAACAGGTTATAACCCAGTGTTACTTTAGTATCGAGATGCTATTATAGTTTTTATATTTACAGTTTTCAGTTAAATATTTTTTTGTAATTTTATTGTGTATTTTTGTCTTTTTATTTATTTATTTTTTATTTTAGTTTTAGTTATTTTAGTACTTGAAGAAAATGAGAAACTTGCCTTGTCACTTAGCTGAAATAAAATAAGTTTAAGGTGTTTTTTTCTGTATATTTTATTTGATTTCAGTTAAAGTTCAAAGTAACAAAAATTTATTTTATGGCTTTAGTTAGCGATGATTACCCTTCTTAAATCTTTTTGCCTTTTTATAATGGGCCTTTTTTATATTTCTCTATAATCCTGATCCATATTTCTGTACTTAAAGCATCAGAAATGTTCTGATTGGTTAGGATTTTCTTCACACCAAGTCAGCACATAATAAATGATTGATAGGGTTATGATTATTGCATATGTTTGTGACAGGTGTGTGAAAGCCAACAGAATGACCTTCAGCTGCTGAAGTTGAACTTGGAGAGCGCCAGAGAGACACTCCGACATCATGAGGGTCAAAGGTCACATGAGAGGTGGGCATCTACAACATGCAGTGTTTTATCAAATTAAATAGCTTATTTCAGCCACTGGCTTTACATCTGTCCATACCAGTGTTTTAGTATTTTTGTTTGTTTGTTTTTACTATTATACTTTTTTAATATATTGAATTATCTTTTATTTTTATATTTTAAGTTTCATTTTAGTTTAATTTTTAGTAAATTGTTATATAGACAGATGTTGTTATAGCACTTCTGTTGTTATGATCTTTTTTTTTTTTTTTACAATTTTACTATTTAAGTCTAATATATTTTTATTTAAGTTTGAGTTTTTATTCATTTCCGGTTAGTAATTTTATTTTAAATTACTTTTTAGTTTTCATCTTAATTTTAGTTTATTTTTTAATAATTTATTTAGTGTTTTTTGGAATATTGTAAAATATTAATATTACTATGTAGGTTTAATATAATGTTTTAGTTCAGTTTTTATTCATATCCAGCTAGTTTTATTTTGAATTATGTTTTATTTGTAATATTTTATGTTATTTTAATATTACTTATATAGGTTTCATTTATTTTGGTTTTGGTTTTATTTAATATTTAGTTTGTATTTGTATTTCCATTCAGTAATTTTAGTTCTTATTTAGTAACTTATTTCAGTTATTTGCCAAAGCAATATTTCCAACTTTTTACATTTATTAACCCTGGTCTAGGCGTCTTGAGTTATGAGTGTTGTTGTGTTCGTAGGGCTGATTCTGGTTTAGGAGACAGTCATGTGCTAGAAAACAGTGATCATCAGGAAGGGACAGAACTAGAAACAGGGCTAATGTCCACCCTGTGCCACAGCACAAGCGGAAATGCCCCATCGATTTTAATGCAGCGTCCTTGTGTTGAAATGGAAACGCAGACTGACTTTGAGCATGACTTTGGCGCAGCTTTGAGCACCACAAACCATGAATTCACAGAGCTTTCAGGTGTAGTGGAAAGTTGCTGTGGCGCCAACATTAAGAACAGCTGTGCAACTAGCCAGTGTGGCATCAGTGAACAAGAATCACCCAAGATGGAAATGAAGGAAAGAGCGAACAACTGTGTTGAGCCGTCATCCCAGTTTCTCTGCTGTGATACTGCTGACAGC